GAACAAGCTTAGCCGGTCCGGGTAGAACCCGTGCCTAAGTCCGTCAGAAAATGGGTCGTTAACAAGCACCTGTACGGTTCAAGAGATACAGTATTCAAACAGACGGATGAACGTTTAGTAATAGGATTCGACGCTTTTGTTACGGAACCCTAAAATCCTCGATAAAGGTCACAGAATAGATCAACGTGTTTCTAATTATCATTACGTATTGATTATATTGGCGACATTTTAATGGAATTAGTAAACCATTATGTAAGTTAATACAAGGTGAATCATAAAGTCTGTGTTAGGTAAATTTCATATTGTGTGAAGCCTAATTTGAGTGCTTCGCTGTAAAGGGGACATTGTACAGTTATCAACGTATATGATAAAGTTAGCGATATAAATGGGGTCAGACAATAACTTTGGCGATAAGTAAAATATCGAATATTTTTTATTTATTATTAGTATCTACCTAAATTATACACTCTAGTAAGTAATGATAATAATAAAATTGTTATTAGTTCGATAAATTAGTATATAAGACTCTAAACTACTTTTTGAAGAATTATTAAGCCCATGAAAATTTCATTGATCTAGTTCAATATTTCCAAAAAGTGCAGGTATTAACTATCATGCTATCTATTATACCTACTATGAACACTGTTTGTATTTATACTGTACTAGCTGTGCCCCGCGGTTTCACGCAGTAAAACGTAGCCTATGTGTTAATCCAGGGTGTCAGCTAACTCCATACCAAATTTTATTAAAATCGCTCCAGCCGTTTAGACGTGAAGAAGTAACAAACATACACACTCACACACAAACTTTCGGCTTTATAATATTAGTGTGATGACACAACAATTAACTATTCCATCCAAAGGGAAGGCCTGTGCCCCAGCAGTGGGGACATTAATAGGCTGATGATGATGACACAACAATCAAAATGCGAGTGAACGTTGTATTGGTAGCGACATGATTTTTTTGTAAATGTTGCTACTTCTGTTAAAATGCTGATGAGTTTCTTGTGCCTATTCTTCAATTCTCAATGTTCATTGAGAGATGATGGTGGAAAGAAAAAATATTGGACGATTCAAAACAGCTTTCAATAAGTAAATTTGAATAAAGTAGAATTTCATTTCACACAATTTCTGATTCCGTGTTTTTCATTCGTCATTTGATTTCGCCTTAATTTTGTCCACAGAACTCACCCCAGTTCACCCTTTCCGAGTCCATGTTCGATCGTCGATATGTATTGACAACAACGGGGTCGGCTGGCCAAACAATCGTTGGCCCTATGCCCTACATAACCTGCATACATCCAAATATTACGTCATCCACTAGTAAAATGAGGAGTTGGCAAACAAAACGTCTAATAATTACGCATATGATCAAAATACTTTTTTTACAGTCCGGAGGTTTTTGGCCCGCTGAAATTGAATATGAACGCATTTTCAAACAAAACCGCCTAAAATAGTGTTAAAATTACTAAATTAACAAATTAAAAACCACGCCAAAAGCTCACTGTAGGTATGTCATTCATGTTTTACTAACATAGGTTAAGAAAAATTGTTACTAACATATATGAGACCATGTCTTGAAATAAATGATTTTTATTTATTTATTTATTATTTATTTACTGTAAAAATGCTCCTGTAAAATTTTATTTTATGTAATTATACCGTTTTGTTCGCCAGCTCCTCAAATAGTAATACACGTTTTGTTATTTCACTTTTTTCTGTTAATTTACTCTTCCTTTATTAAATTATCTGATGCAAACATGATTATTGCCCGAAAGTAGAATTTGTTGCTTACTACAGCTATTTAAGACAACTTCAATTAAAGTGTTTTCAAATCATGCCCATTATGGACATTTAATGGGTCAGCGCGCTAGGTACATTTATTAAGGCATAGACGTTTCCCATGCGACGTAGACACAATAAAGCGCAAAGTAATAACGAATACAAATGAAACTACGAGTATTTGAAAAGCATAACGAAGATTTTAAAATATAAGGAGTAGATTGTTTACTAAGGGAGCAAAGAACTGTTTTAAAGGCGAAAGCTTTTTTTGAATCCAGAACGGAGCGAAGGATTCAACTTACGTCGGCCGAGCTTAAACACTTCAGCGGCAGCTTTACAGTCGGATAAGGTGTTCGAACTACTGATAGATAGGATAGTATGAGTTAAAATAGATAAAATAGATAATAAAATAATAAATCCAATTAAATCTTTGAAAGTAAAAAAATGGGTGAAATGGGATTTTATCAAAATTTCTATTAATTCCTAGAGGATTATTTGTACCTGCTCAGCACAGCAGTTAGCTTGACCAGACTAATAATCGAACTACTTAAACAAGAGGGGAATTATGTTAATTGATATTTTTCAACTTTAAAGTTTGTATGATTGAAAATACGGCCACTTGCAAAATGAAAACCGTAGCGCAGACGCTGGACGCCGATGAGAATAAAATATTTATTAAAACATAGATTTATCTCACAAATCGTCGAATTTCGTTGGTTCCGCTGGCTAAGCTTGGTAATGCGAACGGGGGTCAAGGTTCAGTTCCCAGCGAAGTGAAGGAAAAACAAGTCTGTCGTAGTTAGTCACCGGAAAGATTTCTTTTTATATAAAAGTCTTTCAACAAACCAATCTTGTTGATTGAATTTATTTTTATCTAGTAAAATTTCTTTTAATATAGAAAAATCAAGCTGTTAATCCTAATTCCTACTAATATTATAAATGTGAAAGTTTGTATGTTTGTTACTCAATCACGCAAAGACTATTGAACGGATTTGGATGTTTGGTACGCATATATTTTATGACCTGGATTGAGATATAGGTGTATACTTTCTATCCTGGTTTCTCAAAAAAACAACTTTGCCGCAAACGCGATAAGATCGCGGGGTGAACGATTTACATCGCATATATTTGTTCAAACATTGTATAAGGGGCTTAGAATGAGTAGTTGCTTTAAAAACTCTTTAACAACAAAATTAAACCGCCGTAAAGTAAGAATATTAAGCCTCTTTCATCTCTAGTCAAATTAATATTTGGAGGCGGTGCCAGTGTCAGGCCACCCAAGTAGTAAATGGGAACTCGGATCTACCCGAGAGCTCCCGGGTTCGAATCCCGGTGGGGGCAAATGTTAGTTTGATGAAATATCAAACTAATATTATAAGGGCGAAAGTTTGTGAGTGTGTAAGTGTGTATATTTGTTACTTCTTCGCGTCTAAACGGCTGGAGCGATTTCAATAAAATTTCGTTTTTGAAATCGGTTATTTATATTTCGTTTAAAAGCAATCGATGTTGATGAAACCTTTCCTTTTGATTCGGTTACAATTAATTTTTCAGCTTATTCATTAAAATAACAATTATATTTTTAGGAATTGAAGAATCAGTCCTAAGATCACTAAGGCAATATTACTTAACGCTGATTGTAATCTTAAACTGTGTAGTCGAGACCTAAGTAAGAATACAATGAGATGTGCTTAAGAGCTGAGCGAAATAAGTTAAGCCGCAAATGGAATAAGCCATTTCCGTGTCCTTGAACTTAATGTCCGCACGAAGCGTGATAGTCGGAATGATAAATTGAATCTGTGTCTAAATTGTGGAGTTATGTTTAGTTCTTAAGTATTTTTTACGATGCGCAATTTGTCTTCTAATGGCTTTTGCGATGTTTCATATTATCTACTTAAAAGCGATAATAAAATTTTGCACATTCTTTAGGTTTCCGAACTGGAATAGTGAAATAAGTGTTAGAGAATACTTCAAAATCTGGAAAGTGTTAAAGTCATTGCCTTTTTTCGTGTAATTCGTGCTCTTCATTTGCAATTCAGAAGTTTGTATAATAAATAAAACTAGTTTTTACGGGTTAATGCACGAAACTTTATTTATTTATTGACGTTTCGTAGCCTTTACAGGCTTCGTCGTTTCTGACGAAAAACTAGTTTTATTTAATGAGTGATGTGTGTGAAAACCTAAGAAACAAGTTTGTATACTGTTTGAAATAAACTATTTCAAAGCACTCTTACGGAAATACCGTTCAAAAGATTTTCTTGCCATTTGATAAAAGAAACTATATAGGTACCTAATTTGTTTAAAAAAGCTTTTTAAAATATAAAAAAAGGATTTTTGTTTTTCAGCAATAAGAATAACAGAAAAATGTTTCAGCTTATTTTCGTTTGTTGAGAATATAATATTTAAAATCTCTCTATGGCGACTCTCTTTATAAAGAAGCAAATGCGCTGTTCAAAGAATTTTTGCAATAAAGAGAGAAATAAGTAATTTCTTGAATGAAAATGTTCATTCATCTCCGTATAAAAAAAGTTTGGATCGGCGCAAGAAGTCCTTGAACTTCGCGTCCGGTGCCCGCTCCGAAGCAAGATGACGTCATGGGAATGCGACGCCTGGCAGCAGTCAGCTTAATTTAACAATCAACTAATGAACGAGAATAAAGTTTTGCTAGCCTTCCACCCCAGTTTTGCACGGGTGAAATTTAACTTAACGCGATAAAATAAAACTTATGTTACTCAGGAATAACGTGGCTCTCTACAAAAGATTTTTTTTAAAATCTCTTTCAAACCTACCTAATTTTTTTTTCTCTTTAGTATATTCGTATAGATAACATTCGAATCGATAAAAAATCATTTTCTTCATAAAGGCAGGCTAATATCATCAGTTTTTTTTTTATTAAGAATAAAAAATACGGAATGTACAGTAAATAGCGATAAATCTGAATTTAGGTCGTTACTTATAGGTACTTCGCACTTAAATAATTTCTTAGAATATGTGATATTGCTTTGGTTTGGTATGTGTGGTACACATAACAATAACAAAGTAAAATTCTGTGTACGATAATGGTATCAAAATAATCACACTGTGGAATTATAAGTTAATGTTTATGCTCAGAATACCTAGTCTGTATTCTGAGTGTTTATGTTATGGTAATTTAAATATTGTTACAAATTTGTGTTAGAACTCTAATTAATGAATATAGGATGGCACTTGACTGGCACTCACCTGCATTTGCAGAAGTCTGGAACCACTACTCTTCTCCATTTCTGAGAATTTTTCACTGTTCAGAGAAAAGCTATGGAAGACCAATTTATTTACGGTTGAACAAAAACAACTTTGTCCTCTCTTACAAAAATATTGAAAACGTCATCAGAAACTCAGTAAAGTGCGATTTTTTGTAAAATACTTAAAATTCTCAAATACACAACATTCACAAAATTTGACACAAAAACATGACCGTTTGAAGTTTGAACGTCAACCGTTTGAACTCCCGCGGAGAATTCGAAATTGGAGCGCGCGTCCTGAATCTGTGTCACAGACTTTTTAATTGTTTTTTTTTCAATTTGGGTTCCGATTTACTGTTTTGTAGTTGCTTATTATTTTTAAATTGAACGAAGAGACGTGTCCGTATCGTACCGATTAAACAAGTCAGCGGTCGCCAAGCGACTCAGCTGTTGTGCGGCGGCCGTGTCGGATCAGCACGGGATGGCGCGACTAGTCTGCATGACTGTGCGCTGAGTAATCGCCTATCGGCCTATCGCCTGCACCTACACGGCCTGCGAGCCTCGACTGTGAATTGAACACAACTTGATAACAAGCTTTATTATCAACTATAACTCGTAAGCTTTAAAGACGCTTATCGCTATTAATTCTTAATGAAACGATTTGCATTGACTGCATAAATGTATAATGAGCTGTTATAAGGAAAAGCGTGCTGCAAGAGCTATTTAATCAACACATATCTTTAGTTCGGGTTCGGTGTCATGCTTATGTGAAATGAACCCGCATTGGTATGTGAAAGTTATGTTAGTATCATAATATACTCAGAACCGATAGCCACTCGACCTTTTTTTAACGTTAGTGTAATTTTCAAAATATACTTATATTAAAAAAAAAATACTAATAAATAACCATAATCCTCCTTATTAATACACGAGGAATAAGCTTAGACTAATTACGCCGCGTTTTGTTCATATCACTCAACTGCCATTTGTCATTCAATGAGCAGAGACAAAACATGGAGTAACTAATCCAAGCTTATTCTTCATTTATTATTAAGAGGGGAGGCGGGCAATATTTTTACCAAACGTTCTCGACTAATTCCTCCTTGATTTTTATCACTAAAGAGTTGATTTTCATACAAAAAAATATAATATTACTCATTCTATGCTCCTATGTCCTAATTTTTTCGATAACTGTTTCAAAGAAACTAGAAGCCTTCAAAAATGACAAATATAAACAAATTTTTATCACCAGTAAAGACGTCTAGTGCGGAGATTTTATAAACATTTACAAAAAAGAAAAACATAGTATAACTTCTTATTATTCTATGGGTAAAATTGAAATCGTCGAGAGCCAAACCTCGAATTTTGCTTTTTTTTACGCTTTTTTCAGCGTAAACTACTGTACCCCTAGCACGAACCAATATCGAATTCTATATTTGCCAATTCGTGACAGTAATAGTTTTTTTAAATACCTATTTCTCAAAAGTCTCTCAGTCAGTGTCCGCTCATAAGGGGGAATAAGTATAAAAATAAAACAATGTTTTTTATTTATTGGTAGTTTTCTTTTATTAAGTTATCAAATCACTTAATGTTCCGTAGAATATTTTGGTAGTTACCAACTATAGGCACTTCTTGCAAATTTTGACGTGACAACGTCTTAAATTAGGTTGCGGCTGGGAGTCACTTATGAAAAAGTGTAACGCTCGGTAACGTTACGATGAGTCTCTCGTGTTAAGTTTAAGTTTACATGTACAATGTTTTAGTAAACAAAATATATTTCTATAGTTAAAATTTGTGCAATTCTTATTTTCATTCAATTCCTTGTTCCTATTGTGCAATTTAATTATATTCATATCAATAAATATTCTACCGAGAAAAAGACGTTGTCACGTAAAATCTTCGCCCGTAAAACCGACTTTACAGGCAACCATTTTTTGTAGGTAATTTATATCAGGATTATACACTGATATTATAGATAGCCAAATCCTCTATTATATCTAGACCGCTATTGATAATTATCAAATTTCAAGTTTTTACTCATCGTAAAAATATCAGCAGTGCTGTTCTGTAAAATTTTCACGCGCGTATCCAATGTAGATCCCCGCGGTTCCGATATATTTCCACGCGGATCCACATCGGATCCGCTCGTGAAAATTTTACAGAATAGCATCGCAGCTCTAACTGATACGAAAAAGTTATTTACTTTTTATGCTGAAAATACCAAAATATTTAGTTCTAGAAAGCTTTCGCCCGCGACCCACTAATATTATAAATGAGTGTATGTTTGTTAGTCAATCACGCAAAAACGGCTCAACAGATTTTAATGGGATTATGTGTACATAAAATTTATTACCTGGTAAGGGACTATTGATACTTTTTATCCCGAAAAAATATTGGTTTCCTGAGGGATTCATAAAAAACTAAAGTTAATGCGTACGAAGACGCGGGCGACTGCTAGTATAAAATAAAATTCTTTTTTCTATACAAGAAGATACACCCTTCATTGCCGGGCTTTGGGTGTCAGTTTTTACTAATGCTATCTATAAAATGCGAAGGTATCTTTTGGTGAAAGAAATGAAGTTTTCGTGTGTATCGTTATGTATGTAGCGTGCCTAGTTCATCGATACCATGTCGATGTTCGCAATCATTTTTCTTTCGCATTTTTCGATTATGGATTTCTTAAACTAAACCTGTACCTCATTCTTAAAAGACAGTTTTTGATAAAGAAGCCTTAACACGCACTATAGCTTTTGTAGCAAAGAGGTGAGCGTGTAAACAGAACAATACACTCATATTACTCTCAGATAGAGTCATTTGTTAAGATTTTCTTAGCATAATACATTTTCATCATAGTTACCGAAATTATCCTGTCAGTTGATAGACTACTACCACGACTACTACAACCACATGATCAAAGAAATGCTACAACTGTAAACCATGCTCGTGTAAGACCCGAGATGTTACTGAGTTTCGTCAAACACAAACGCGCCACCTACTGGTGGTCGCAAGCACTATGATTTCCGTTAAGAGCGAAGAGTAATACGAACATGGTCAACGGAGGAATATAACTTGTTTTCTGCATCTATTCCTCTGTAGTGTATTTAGCAAGTAAGCAATATTGATTTATATTAATTAACGTGCGCGTGTCGCGACGCCATTAATAATAAAGACATAGAATAGTAAATATGTAATCTAAAAGGAATAAAAAAAATAGTTTTATTAGTGTAATAACTGTTTCAATCAACGGCTCCTACGACAACCGTGGATGGCGACCCTGCCAGTTGAAGTCTTCAGGCAAACCGGGATAAATCATGGGAGGATCTACAAGGAGGAAGTCGTATTGGCTCAGACTCTAACGCGCGTGAGTCGCGACGGCATTAATAATTAAGACATAGAATAGTAAATATGTAATCTAAATGGAATAGATAAATAGTTTTATTAGTTTAATAACTGTTTCTATCAACGGCTCCTACGACAACCGTGGACGTCTCTGTTCGTTGAAGAAAACTGTGTTCAAACATTGAAAATACTACCACGAACATCTACGTTGGAGGGTTCTCCTGCACCTGCTCCCGCACTTACCAGGTAAACCAACTCCCCGATCTACCCCTCACCCTCCAGGCGTAACTACGGGATTCAGTTATGAGTCGCCGCTTGTCACGCCTGGCAGAGTAAACCTATGGTTCCCGATCGTTAGCGACAAAACTCGGGATTACTTTCCTAGTAAAGTAAATACCCTGGATGTGTGGGAAATTCAACCACCTTCCCTCGGTCTCATATAACTACTTACTACCTACTAAACGCAGGAACGCAACACTTCATAATAGGGTATTTGACAAGTTTTAGAAAAAGATCGCACGTTATTGACTAATGTTTATGGAGTCCGTAAAAATTCTCATTTTTCTATTGTGTATTTCACTGGTAAAAATAACTAAATCAAAAACTCCATTTTCAAGTTGCCGCGAAAACGTTTCGCTGGACAATATGGCGCCTTACTAGTGTGTGACATCACACTACTGTTATTAAAACGTCAAACGATACAATGTAATGTCACTTTAACCGAAAGTTTACTTGCGTGTGACGTCATTTTAGGTTCCGCCAATCTCAAGTTGTATAAGAAAACTGTTATCTTTATCGTTAGTTTTTAGTAAAATTATGAATATTTTTTTTTGTAATAATAGCAAAAACCTCTTCTAATATTTATTCTAAACACAGATGCTAACAATATGCGCTTTATTTTTAACACTGTCAAATACCGTATTAGAAGTATTATTTTAATCTCTATATTTAAAAATTAATCCGTATTTGACTTGGCTACGAAATAACTTGAGAAAGACTACCGTTTTTATGCATCTTCTTTTGAAGTTTCTTCCTAATCGTACTAATATTATAAATAAGAAAGATTGTATCTTTGTTACTCTATCATACAAAAAGGGATGAACGGATTTGGATGAAATTTGGCACACATATAGAAACTATATTAACTGGATTGAGACATGGGGTACTATTGTACTGAGAAGAAGGCTCGGAGTTGGCCTCATAAGAATGAGGCCCATTGTCAACGACCACGTCTCAGCTCCGCATGTCTCACTGGCAACTCGCACCGTATGAAGACCTTGGTCTTCAGGCACTGAGGTATTTCGGACGAGAAGTTTTCTGAATGCTGTCCAGCCTAGCCGGATTCGGCGGTTTACCTCTTTCACGAAATTGGACTTACGCAAGCTGACTACTTGTCCTAGATATTTCATATTAGTCGACAATTTCGAGTGCAGAATTCTCAAAGATTACCGGGTGGAGCAAAACATGTGTGTTAGACATGATTTTCGTCTTACTCATATTCATTTTAAGGTTGTGGACCTGGAATCAACAACGTCAGACACTTCTTTTTTTACTTATGCAAAACTAATTACTATTTATATGAAATTAATTTGATTCATTAAAACAACGTTGTTTGTTAAATTTAACTTTTCCGGTCATAATTAGGTAGGTAATAGAAAATTAATTATTATTATTATTATTAATTCAATAAAACTGTTATCAGGATACACCAGAGCGGTAAATTTTTGGTAGTTTGCGTTTTCTTAAATGTACTTATAATAATTTTATACACCAATATGTATATGTCCAAGGTATGCTGCATGCCAAACTAGAATAAACCTTACTAATATTTTAAATTACAAATTTATTTGACGAAACCTAATTTCTCCAAGTAGGATGAGAAATAGCCAGTTATTTACTGTACGCCCCAAAAAAACCCGTAGCAACCCAAGTCTCTTAAACCTTTACCATAAAAAGATCTAGGGAACGCTTTATCACAATGAAACGAACAAGTTAAGCCACTGCGGCATTTATTACAAAATTTACATACAAACATTCATAAATCAGTAACGTGAACGGCTATCGTACACGGCTTACACACGTAACCTAGGCTACACACGTCTACAGGGTGTCGATTCTGCTCAGTCAAAGTATTAATCGTGTATCAATGTAGCAGTAGTTTTGATTTTCGACACAGTTATTGCTACAAAAACATAAAAAAGGTGATATATTTGCTTGCTCATTTGTTATTGTTATCTGC